CTGAAGCAGGACATGAACTGGTCCAGGCAGGTTGTCGGGGTCCCTTGATGTTTAGTCAGGTGTCTGTACAGCGCCACCTCCTTTGTCATCAGCCTGAGCCCTGTCACCTCTCTGCGGAGCAAATTTACCTTGTGTATGGGCAGAGCCATAGGAGATGGTGGATGGTCTCTGCTGCACTTTGGCAGATTTCCTTGGGGAAGCTGGGTCAAGTCCCCTGCCCCCCTCTGTGTCTCCAAACCCCACTGGGTGAGCGCGGTGCGCTACTAGTCAGTTCAGGTCTCTGGTCCTGTCATAGGTCCTTGTGGAAGATCCACTCCCTGATGGCCAGGTGTCATCATCAGGGAGCAGCTCCATGATTGGTAGCACATAACTGGCTCTGAGCGCCCTCTGCACCTTGCTGTGGCAGCTTTTTATTTAATTTTTTATTTATTTTTTATTTTTAAGGATTTTTTTTCTGTTCCAAGCCAAATCAGCCAAATCAATTCCTAATCTGCAAGTCATTCAAGAACCATATGTGGACCTACAACCAGCAAACATCCTCCACCTCCACCTGGGGTTTCAAATGTTTCCAAATCATTTAGCAGGTATCCAACGTGCAAGCCCAAGCCCAAGCCCAGAGACTTGGGGTGCGGATGCCCCTGGGTTTCACATGCTCTAGGCCATATGGCCACAGAAGCAAGCTAGGAAGGAATCACCCAGGTCCATAAAATAGGCATAAAGCCAAAATCTTCCATCGGGAAATGAATATGGGAGGTTTATTACTATACATTACCTTCAGGGGTAGTCTCTTGCCCCTGGGAAAACCGCCTTAGTGGTCCTTGTATTTCCTGTACCTGCCTCGCAGGGCTGGATGCCCCAGAGAGGAACAATGCAGGGAGCTCTGCAGGGTGAACACCAGCATGGCCCAGCTTTCCCATGGGCCAGGGAGATGTAGCTGGAAGGGCACAAGCTCCACGTGCCAAGCACCAATCTCAGAGCATTGCAAGAAGGATCCCAGTTCACTTTGCCACCTTCTCCTCCAGCCTTTAACATGTCTGTTCTGATATGGGGTCAGCCTGTCTATGCCAAGGCAGATTCAGACACTGGCATCAAGAACAGGGTACCACACCCCAAGCACCAGGACTTGGAGATGTGTCCTGGCTGGGACAGCTCCTAGGTTATGGGCCACTGGGAACCCCCCACCCTGCAACATTTCTGAGCCCAGGGGACAAATGTGGGGAAAAGTAGGTGCAGCTCCCGGTCTGGCTCCAAGGGAACTCAGGGTCAGCAGCAGAGCTGGGCTGACAGCCTGCAGAACACGTGGATCCAGGCTTCCCGCAGACCTGTTGGGGCGGAGACAGCCCTTGATGAGCAACTAGCAGGTAGCTCCACTGAGCACAGCCTGATTTAGAAAGCTGTCACCCAGCCCAGGCCCCAGTGACATGTACCAGCTCAGTGGCATGTACCTGGGTTTTAACTTTCTAAGGCTCTAAAATCTGTCTTACCCACTCTCATGCACCCCACAGACCCAAGCAGCAGGCCCCTACCTGCAAACTCCTCCCACATGGAGATTTCTAAAGCAAAAAAGGTTTCTTTCCAAAATGTGAAGCTGTCCCCCACCCCCCTGACTTTGTAGTTCAAACACATATCAGGACCCAGTCCTCTTTGACTGAGGTCCAGGAAAAATTGAGAACAGAAACTTTCCAGGGGACAGGGAGCAGATGTTTCCAAGCCCACTGGGCTGTTAGCAGGCTGCCTGCCTTGTGTATCTGTGAAGTTCTTGGTTTTATCCCCTCATGCCCTGGTACAAGGAACAGTGTGTTACCCTTGTATGTGCCCATGTGGCTGCAGCTCCTAGGAGCTCCTGTGCTGGGGCAGCGCTGGAACAAATGGCACCACGGAAAGACTAAAGACTGTCCCTGCCTTGCAGAAACCATCAGCCTGCGCTCACCCAGGGTTACCCAGATGGGTGGTGCAGTCTCCATCCATGGAGGTTTTTAAGGCCCAGCTAGACAAAGCCTTGGCTGGGATGATCTAGTGGGACTGGTCCTGCTTTGAGCAGGGGGTTGGACTTGATGTGACCTCCCGAGGTCCCTTCCCACCCCCATTTTCTGTGATTCTATAACCTCTCCTGGCTGCACCCTGGGTAAATGCAGCCCCTTGGCACTTACCATAAGCTTGGGAATGCAGGAAGAGGCACAGCACAAAGGGACAGAGAGCTTCCTCCATCACAACAGGCATGTGAAGTGCCAACAGGCAGAGGGGAGAGAGGCTGGAAGGAGATGTGGTTACAAGCCAGGACATGTCTGACATGTAGCACTTTCTCAGTGGGAGCGTCTGCTCCTTCCCTGCTATGGTGGGAGCTTGCAGAGAGCGAGAGAGGCATCCTCTGCACTGCACACACTCCAGCAACAGTGGCTGTGTGCTTCCTGCCTCACATTCCTTCTCCTCTGCAGTTGGGCACTGGCCATACAGGGTAGAGAGCTAGAGATGTGTGAAGCTGCAGGGGAGAAAGACTCAGGCTGGTTCTGTCACCCCTTTAGCAGAAAATAATGGCACAGAGACATGCGGAGAGGTGGGGGGAGCTGCAGGATGGACATAGACGGCCAGCACCTGCAGCTGCACCAGGAGGTGAAGGGAACATTGCCTTTGCACCCATGGCATGACAGCAACACTGAGGGACTTCCCGTGCAACATCTTCTGCATTTTTTTGGTGAGAAAGTTTTAAGAGACCCAGCAACCTCAGTTCCTTGTTGCACTTATAAAGCTATAATTAGTACCCATCGAGGTGTTGGGGCTTAAGGCCCATTTTCTGGAAATGGGGAGTCTCCTCCTTATCTTGCTCCTTCAGCCATATGGCTGAGGGCAGGTGAAACTTGGGGACATCCAAACCCCAAGCCTCTGGGCTTGGGCCTGCATGTAGGATGCCTGTCAAAAGACTTTGGAAATATCTGAAGCCCCTGGTGGGGGTGGAGGTTGTTTATCAGTTGTTTGGGCACTTATGGTTCTGGACTGCCTCACGGATTTGGACTTGATTTGGTTGATTTGGCTTGGAACATGAACAATTTCTTAAGAAAAAAAAAGAGCTAAGATAGGTACCAACAAGGAATAAAACTAAATTGCAGAAAAAGACTCTGTCCCACTATGAAACGAGCTATTAGTCCTTGTAATATGTTAGCTGCAAGAGATTTTTACCCTAGCAGGCAGGAAGCATTTGATGGCAGCTTTCACCGAGCATGGGTCCTTCACTCATGTGCTCGTGGTGCAGGATGACTTCTGCATTTTCTCTGGACTGCACACCTTGCTGGCACTTCTGTCTTGCTTTACGCTGTTTAATGGTATAGCTTCAAAGCATTTTTCTTTGATGGCTGGCCGATTAAAATCCTAACAAAACAGGGAGGAAAAGGGTGACCATCACATTACAATTGTTAAATTGCCTGGCTGCTGTTTTTGGCTTTGTCCAGGTGTGAAGACCTGTGTTTCTTGCGATTAAATGTGATGGGCCTTGAGTGACTAAACAGGATGCTAGAGGCACTGGTTACCGGTCGGGTGGCCATCATAGAGGACATTCCAGTTTTCTGCTACTTTGTCTTCTGTTCTCTATCTGGACACCTTTATGTCCTCTATTTTTCTCTTCAAGAGTAACATAGAGGACATAAAGGCATCGGGTTTTGTATCAATAGAGGACAGAGGACAACCAGATTGTCCTCTATGATGGCCACCCTAGTGACCGGACCCGTCTTTGGGTATTTATCAATGGGGCAAATTTGCAATAGCTTGTACCAGGATGGTCTGCTTACAAAACTCCAGACATACAAATGTCTGAATACTTCAGCATAACATCTTAGACCCTGGATGCCTGATGTGAGAAATGTGAGGATGTCACATACAGGACATTTTCCCTGTATTCATTGCACCTTTTACAGGTTTTACATGAAATGTATATTTAGTCTTTAGCTGCTAGTTCAATTGAAATGTATATGTAGTTTCCTTTCCTTTTCTAGTTACACTGACTCCGTCATTCTTTTTCTTGTTCTTTTAGCTTGGATATACACATGTGATGAGTGTGTCAGGTCTCTGCCAACAATTTTCCTTTTAGAGAAACCATCAGTCTAATTATTTTATGGCGTGGGTCTGGTAGTGGATGCCTCAAGCTTCACTGCGTCTACACCCTAAGGGGTTGTAGCCATCATGGAGACTTTTTTTTTTCTTGTGTCAGTCTTGTCACCACAACCCAGTCTTGCCCCAGCCACTTCCTTGCATTTTTCTGCAAGAGACACCATCCAAGCTTTTACAGACAGCACCCATGTCGTGAGAGCAACCCTGAGGGACCTCCCCTGCAAAGGCTTCTCCATTGGCCTTATTACCACTCTCTTGGTCAGGAAGTTTTAAGAGACTCAGGAGCCTACCGGGACTTGGTGTGTGGGCAAGCACTTTCTGGGTCCAGACAGACATCACACAGACCTGAAATCTCTGCACTGTCACCTGGACACTGGGGAACAGCTGGGCCTGGACCGACGAGGCTGCAGTAACAGCAATCATCCAGGCTTGGCGTGTGCAGGGGGTGGGGGAGGCAGGACATGCCTGAGCGGTGCCTTTGTGGGGCCTGGGACCCTTGCTGAGACCCACTACCTCCAGGTAATCAAGTCAGTGCCCCTGGCTCTGGGGCAGCCCCATTGGGAGAATGCCAAGGGCTGGGGACCCTTGGCTTCCAGGTCCCTGGCTTTGGGGCAGCCTGGCCAGGGGGACTGCCCCAGTGCTGGGGAAATGGTGCCTCTGCCTCTGCGGTTTCCCACCAGGTTCTTGAAGGGGCTGCCCCAAGGCTGCAGACTCAGCCCCACCAGTCTGCCAGGCTCTGAGATGAGCCAGACCAGTGTGGAGGGTGGGGCAGTGGGAGCATCCTCAGCTCAGGGCAGCTCTGTGAGGCCCCTTCCTCTGGTTTCACCCAGGCCAGTCTCAGGAACTAGCTATATCAGACCCAGGAAGGTGATAAACATCCCTGTCCCTCCTTGCCTGTCTGGTGTAAAGGGGCATTTACAAGAGGAGTTGTACAGTGGCTCAACACTGCTGGTGGCCATGCCCCAGCTGAGGGTACTGCTGGGTTGCGTGTTTGGAGGTCACTGCTGTATCCAGCAAGCTCCAGCTGCAGCTGGGCTCTGGAGATGTGCTCACGGGGCAGGCAAAGCTTTCAAGTGAGCTCCAGCAATTGAGGGCAGTGCCTGATCTTCCCCTTGTGCCTTGCACAAGGAAGGCATTGCTGTGTGTGCTGGGCAGGCCTCCAGGGCTTGGGTCCGATCCCAGCTCTTTCTGGCAGGACCCGAGTCACCAGGTTGTGTTCCTGACTCTTCCTGGAAGGGCCCCGAGGTCTGTTCTCAACTCTTGCAGGAAAAGCTTTGGTAGCCTCTTTGTACCCAGGTGCCTCCACAGTCATGACCCTGTGCGGCTGATCAGCTCACTCGGCCTTACCTACCGCCAGTCAACATGCTTTTGGCCTCCTGGGAAGAGGCTTCCCTGATCCCTGCTCATCCCGTGAACTGCCAGCCCCCCAGGGCTCCTGCTCTTGTATCAGTAAGTTTTGCTTCCAATGTGCTTCCACTCAGTTGGGCCCCATGGCCGGGTCGGCAGACAACACCCTGCTCCCAGGTCCCACCCCAGCTTCTGGACCTGAGGCCAGCCTGTAGCAGACCCTTTGGTGGGACATCAGAGCTGGCAGGAGAGACCCCCTGGGGAAATGGGGGGCAATCCTTGAGAAATGGCCCTGCCAGTAGAGATCCTGGCATGCAGAGCAGAGGCATGGGCAATGCTGATGGCTGAACACTCCCTGAGGGCTGTGGTTCAGCCCGATGGGGATCTTGGGAGGTGTGTGGGAAGATTGTCCCTGGCAGGGTTCAGAGACACAGACAGTGCAGAGGGGGGGATTTTAATTTAGAGGCTGCAGCTGCCCTTGGGACAGTGGTGTTTTGTACTGCCTGTGTCTGTGGGCCCCTGAGCGCAGCCAGTCCATGCCCCGAAGCCTGGATACTGGGGTCTACTGGTCCCACTGGGCAGGGGAGGAGGAAGCCATGGAAGAGACACTCTACTCCAGAGTGCTGATGGACCTGCAGTGCCAAGCGATGGATCAGGAACTGGCATCCGATACTCAGATTCAGACCCTCGCAGACCCACCGGCTGCTTCTCCTCAGTGTTGCAGCCTCCCCCAGTCCTTCCTTCCCAGAGTGGAGCAGACGCAGTGTGGGCTGGGCCCGGCTCAGTCCCATTTCAGCTGCATGCGAGTCACGATGTACACCTCGGTAGTCCCAGCGATCAGCACCCCCGGCACCACCAGCAGGACGAGCCCCTTGGCCTGGCAGTAGGACAGCGATGAGGCCTGGGAGTGCAGTTGTGCTAGAACAGAGCAAGGCAGCAGGTCAGGGCCAGGGGGAAGTGACTGGTGCTGCCCCGTGGTGTTTGCTCTGGGGGGCAGCAGGGATAGGGGCAGTCCCTGGGGTGCTTCCAGAGGGAGGAGGAGCCCTGCAGGGAGCTCTGGGCTGGGCTGTCCCTGCAGGGAGATGGAGCATGTGGCTCCCTGGGTAGCAGGGTCAGAGGGAACGTGCAAGGCAGGGACTTGGGGTAGGGAGGGGGCAGCATCTAAACTCAGGTGCCTCAGGTTAGCCAACCTAGCACCCTCATGCTCATTCTCCCCAGGTGTGAGCTGCATGGAGCTTCCCTACAGGGCATGTTACCTGCACAAAGGGCCTTGGCAGAGGCTGTCATGGAGCTGCTGCTGGCGGGGTTGTGCACTGTGCACGTGACATTTATCAGAAGATCTGCATTAGAGATTATCACGATGGATCCTTGAGCGATCATACTGGGAGGGTCTGGGGCTCTCCAGCTGTAGGTCACATTGCTGCCTCCATTGGGGATGGTGCAGATCAGGACAGTTTTCAGGATCCATTCGCACAGCTGTGGGCACTGCAGTGAATTGTGGGCTGGGGCAGCTGCTCTGCAGGGAGACAAAAGGAACTGAAATGGGAGGATAAACGTGTGAAGGGAAGAAAACAGCACTTTGCCTTCCTGCAAGCATCTCCCTGGGACACTACTGGGAGAGCAGAGCCCCTGACACCACCAGGTGATACAGCAGATGAGATAAAGACTCATTAGCCCCCTTCAGGGTCGCTGTAGGAGTCTCCCGTGGGTGGAAAAACCCCATAGGGATGTGTCCTGTGTAAGATGCCCCTGATGACTGATATTTCTAAACATGGCTCTTTGCTCAAAAATATCCATGCTCATGAGTTCGGGAGGTAACAAGGGCACTGCACAACATGTCTTTACTCCGGCTGCAGCTGTAACACTCAGAGCCCGGGTTTGTCTAGGGTCCCCTGCTTTGCTGATGTGTGTGGAAAGCAAAGACTGCTTGCCAAGACCGGGCACAAGCACAAGCACAAGCAAAAGCGCTCATCCTGCCCCTTTCCATGGAAGGGGATTCACATCCCTTGGGGGTTTCCAGGACCATTCTTGTGCTCTTGTGTGCATGCAAGCAGGAGTGCTCATCCTGCCCCTTCCACGGAGGGGTAACAACTTTGTGCCCTTCACAGACCTTTACATTAACTAGGCTGTCACACTTAGATCATAGTGGAGAGATTACCTCAGTGGGCAGAGACCGTGTAACTCCTACATGATTGAGTTATCTTTGCTACAGAGTTAAATAACATATGACTCACCATAGCTGTGCAGTGTGAAGCAGCTGGTAAATATGATTTTATCCATGTTGACTATAGTTTTGTAGGACCCGTGTTAGCAAATAAAAACCTAGGATTTTGGACTAGCCCAGGGATTGACCCAACACCTCTTTTGATGAGTGATGGAAGATTTTAAATACTTATAGTAAATAAAGCTTAAGTCAAGTGAGCCCCAACCAAATCAAAGCCCAGTAATTAGCTATAAGGTGATGATTTCTCACCAAACAGGCGACGAAGAGGCGGTCTTTTTCTCTTCAACTTTTCGAGCAAGTCAGGTGCATCAGCAACTGGTGTCGGAGAGATTTCTCACTCTTGAAGCACGCGCTGTTTGGTGTTTTACTGCCTTTTTATACCCTTAGTTTAGCATCTTCAAAGCATTCTTTTAGTTGTGTAAATCAAGAGAGTCCCAAGCAGTAATTGATGGGATAATGCTGTTAATTAACCTGCTCATTACTGGTTATCAGAAATTTCTAATTTGAACGAGTTACCTTCTTCAGTGACAAGAGGCTATCCAGTTTGCAACATATCAAGAACCTGATTAACAGCCAGGAAAAACATACTAAATCAGGAGGAGACATCTATCACTTATGGAGAATGTCTATTCCTGCACGTAAACACGAGTTAGTCACAAAATAAATATTTACCATACTAATTAATCAAGGATAGACATTTCATATGGTTACATACCTGACAACTAAGAGTCTGCCTGAAATCATCCTGAATATAGCAAGATAAACTGGGAGAGATACTTCATTATTCCATCTTAGATGGCGTAGCCATGAACTCGCATCTTCTTGCATTATGCAATTAGCATCAGTATTCTGTATTTTAACTTTTGTGAGTCGGCCCAAGCTTAGCATGAGGTTCAGAGTCATCATCCCGCGTCCTCCATCCTCAGGTTGGTGATTTGCACTGAGAGGTCGTCAGGGAGCTGCAGGTGGCCCCTATAGCGTTTGTCTGTCACAATGACACCC